TTCAACCAGCGATCGATTGAGCCGCGCACGTGCAAAGCCACCACACGTGCTCGGCGCTGCAGTGCATGCCGGTCGACCGTCTAACTTCACGCGTGTCTCATGTCGCCGGCTTGGTCCCCTGTTCAGCGCCTTAGGCCGTGGCCCTACGCTGCTTGTACTCTCCATAACAGTTAACATGCCCATTTTTTCCTTTGCAATTTCACAGTGTGTCCGCTTGCCCCACCCATAAAACCCCCTTCATCGCCATTCCCATATTATAGGCAGTCAGGGTTTAGCCATTTCAGATGCGGCCGCAGGGTCACATCTGACATGTGGTTCAAGCGTTAACATTGGTGCTTTTATTGTGGGAAAGTTGGAAAGTGCTGTGCCATAGAAGAAAAATGTTCAAGAGGCATTGTTATTTTTGCTTTAATCTCAAAAAGTGCTAGTGCAAGTCATCGTTTGCCTGAAGAAGCTCTATGAAAGAACATGCAGAAGTAGGTTAGAAGTCCTTAACATTGGTGATCCTAACAAAGGAGATAATGAACGTCTAGTACAGCCGGAAAAATTCGACTATGGAGAACTGGAAGCGTCAATCGATCACGATCCACTCCAATTATTAGAAGTTCATATATCCACGGTTTGCAAACACTGACCTGCATTGGGAATGATACAAATACAAGGGATTTCGGTAAGTGAAAGACAACAAGAGGAGTGTAAAACCATATGTGAGATAGTGTTTTCAAGCACTCTTCTCTGTGTCGACGATAAGTGATGACATTAAGTGGATCTGTCACGATATATTTTAAAGCATAATCCCTGGACGACGCCTGGATAACCATCAAAATCAAAGCCAAAACAGAGTATCCCTGGATGCAAAGTAATGCTGTGTATCGGGTGGGACCAAAAAAGGAGCCAACTGAAACTGTTACTGCTGAGCGATGTCAACAAGAATTAACCGGCTTGAGTTAAGCATTCCACACAAGGCGAGAATATGACTAAATCCCTGGTAGGATGATTTCGCAACATGACAACGGGAGCCACATATTGCACAACAAGTGAATGAAACTTTGCAGTCACTTCATCGGGAAGCCCCAGCCCTCCCCCATCCGACATATTCCCCATCAGATTATCCCTTGTTTCAATCAATGCAAAATGGCTTCACTGAGCACTACTCCAGTCCCCAAGAAGGAGTCAAAAAGTTGACTCAATGAACGGATTTCATTGGAATGTTGGCAGTGTTCCTACCACCGAATTTACAGGTACTCAAAATATGGGAGAAATTTGTAGCTACTCGTGGACAATACTCTGAGTAAATTATAATATGTTGTTACTTTAAAATAACCGTTGGTATCTTTTCATTAAAAAACGATGAAAATTAATTCCCGTACCCCATACTATCAAGAAGTGTGAAGCGTCCTAGTTCTAAAGCGCGCCATCTTAATTCCCCTCACTCCTGCGGATATAGCGCCACGAGTTGCAATGAGTTCTCACTAACACTGGTCGTACCCAATCCCCACTCACGTCTCAGATACGAGCAAATGTGTTGCACGTGTTAGACGGTGGCATTGGACTTAGAGGTATCCGGTTGTGGGTCTCCATGATGGCCGTCGTAGGCCGCTCACTTGCTTGCAGGTGTTTAATTCGTCTAAAGTCCATTAATTGGCATCAAACACTCAACTGTGGCTCCTCGAAGCTAGGCTCCGACCAGCGGACACACCGCGATAACTGCCTCTACCGAGCGGCCAAACCAAGTTGGGGGTATCCGGTGTTGCGGGCGTCCTTACACCCGGCAAAGGGGAGGGGGCTCTAAAGGGCACTGGTTCGCAACATCTGCGCGCAGAGCATGGCTCGCAGACGACAATACGAGTAGTCGAAACGATCAAACAAGAAAAAACAATCTCTCCCTCCTCCCTTCTCCTCCCCTCCGCCCCACACTACAGGTTGCTAGAGTGGGTCCGCTCGCTCTGACAGTCTGAAATGTTTGCTCCCTTTCAGACAATCCATGGGGCGACTGACCGAAACGGAGAACGGTTCTAAGGTGAATATTATTGCACGCAACGAGACCTGCTTTCCCAAACAAGGCCAATTGGAGGAGGTGGGTGCCGGCTACGCCTTCTTCTGGAAAGACCGCCCTAGGACGGTACGACGAGACTCCGGCGTCGCCTTTACCATCCGGAACGACATCGTGGGACGACTGCCCTGTCTGCCGCGGGGCATCAAAGACCGACTGATGAGCCTATGCCTGGCTCTTCGGAGATCCCATTTTGCCACCACCATCATCGGCGCACACGCCCACCAATGAACGGCCCTGACGGGGCGAAGACAAAGTTTTACGAAGACCTGCACACCCTCCTGACGTCTGTGCCGAATAAGAACAAGCTAATGGTTCTTGGTGACTTTAATGTCCGTGTTGGGACAAACTGCGCTGCCCGGAGGGGAGTGCTGGGTCCTCACAGTATCGGCGACCCCAACGACAGTGGTTTCCTTCTCCTGCGAATCTGCGCTGAACACTGCGTCTTGTTGACCAACACCTTCTTTCGTCTGCCGATGCAAAAGAAGGCCACATGGATGGACCCTCGATCGCTGAGCTGGCGGCTGCTGGATTATGTTCTCATCCGGACGTGATCAGGACGATCAGCGAGTGGATGGCTGGACTGACCATCGCCTTTTCATCTCCAAGATGAGGATCCGTCTGCAACCTCGCAGGAGGCCACGAAGTACGTGACAACCAGTCAAACTGAATACCGCCTTGTCGTTTTTGCCTGTCCACCGTTTGCATTTCAGCAGTCAACTGGCTCAGCAGCTGGAAGACCTGTCAGCAGCAGATGAAAACGCCTCTGTGGAGACTCGATAATGCCAAATATGTGACGGCGTTCAATCGACCGCCCGGGATGTCCTCGGCCGCGTACGCCGCCAGCTCCAGGACTGGTTCGACGACAACGACGCAGTCATCGGCAACCTGCTAACCGAGAAATACAGGCTGCACAAAGCATACCTCGACCCTCCTGCCGATGTTAACAAGGTGCCGCCGCCCTGCGCAGCAATGGTTGCAAGAAGTATAGGACGCCTGAATGGCTCACAAGGCTGAGGAGATCCAGAGGTATGTCGACCGCAACGAATCGAAGAATTTCTTCACTGCGATTTTAGGGAATCTACATCCCCTCCTCGACCAAAAGGACTACAGCGGTTCTCAGCTCCGATGGATCAACCCTCTAGACGGATAAATCGCAGATTCTGAAGCGCTGGGCCGAGCACTTCAGAAACATCCGCCGAAGCCGACATCGGCTGGCTCCCCAAAGCGGAAGTCGACGTCGACGTGGACCTTCCGCCCTCTCTTCCAGAAACCATTCGTGCCTTGCAAGAACTCTCCAAAGGGAAGCATCAGGCTCCGACGCAATCCTAGCCGTAATCTACAAGCACGGCGGTCAACGCCTGATGGACCAACTCACGACGCTATTTCAGGAGATGTGGTGCTGTGGACAAGTTCCTCAGGATTTCAAGAACGCAACCATCATTCACCTCTAAAAACGGAAAGGTAACTGGCAAATCTGTGACAATCGCAGAGCAATCCGGTACTCAACATCTACGAGAAGATCTTTGCCCGCTCAACGACCACCTAGAGCAAGGACTTCTGTCGGAAAGTCGATGTGAATTCCGACAACATCGGGGCACCACTAACAGGGTGTTTGCCTCCCACCTTCGTGGACCCAACGAAAGCCTTCAAAACAGTGAATCGCTAAAGACTGGGAAAAAACATGCAAAAGTTCCACTGTCCCTAGCGACTCACACAAATGTTACGCCAGCTCCACGACGAGATGATGGTGCACGTGATGACAGGACTGCTTACTCGCTGCCACACTATTCAGCCTCATGTTTTCTGCCATGCTGGTGGGTGCATGCCGTAATGAGCGCCCCAGGACCCGCAGTGACTACAGGACCGACGGGCGCCTTCTTAACAGGTGGCGATCGCGGGCAACGTCGAGTCTCTCCACAACTACTGCTCTTTGCAGATTACGGCGCTTTCAGCGGTACGACCGAAGAAAACATGTAACAGAGCATGGACCTCCTTGCCTCCGGTTGCGCTCACCTCGGTCTGACCATCAAAACGGATAAGATGATGATAATGCATCAGCAGCCAGCGACCGCTTAACACAGTGTCCCTCGCATCCACGTCAACGGCATGAAACTGAAGACCGTGGATAACTTCAACTACCTAGGCAGAACAACGTCACTCTGCATCAGAATCGACGACGAAATGAGCCACCGGATCTATGAAGTCTGCAAAGCCTTTGGCCGGCTGGAGAACCCCTTGTGGAATCGCCACGACATTCAACTGAAGATGTACAAGGCCGTGTCCTGACGAAACTTCTATACTCCAGCCATTCCAGGAAGCTCAATCACTTCCATTTCGGTTACCTTCGTGGACATGGCAAAGTTCCCGACACGGAAATCATAGAACTAACTGGAATCCCCAGCATTCACGCCATAGTGAGGCAATAGCTGTGTTGCAGTGGCCACCTCGTGAGGATGGAAGATTCACGTCTACTGAACCAACTCTTCTATGGTGATGTTCCCACGGGTACAAGTCCACAAGAAAGTAAAAAAGCCGCTACAAGGACACTTTTATGAACTCTCTATAATGACTGCGGACCAAATCGGAGACCTGGGATTACCTCGCCTAGAACAAGTCGGCATGGAGAAGAGGAGTGAGGGTTCCGCGCAGACACTTACGAAGCAAATTTAATCGCCGCCGCTAAAGCCAAAGGGAAGGCTCGTAAGTCACAATTGCCTCGACTTCTCACTGTGAACAGTCAGCCCGTGCTGCCAACGCACATTCTGCGCGCCAATCGGCCTCGTAGGAAGCCTTCGAACGCAATGCATCAACAAACCGACAACGTCAACTTTCCCTCCCACTATTGCCTTTGCCTCGAACCCCGTGACGATGACCATCCCCATCACTGATTGCCAAACTACTCGCCGTCATAAATCATCGACATCATCCAACCTGCTCCAAACACTTGCGTCGACCACAGCGATCAGCTCTGCTAAAATCCCGACATCATGTCCTCCCTACGCCGATAGGACGACATCCGACGTCTCATCATCTGCCACCGTCACCACCAGCACCCTCGTCTAGAGCGATGTGGACTCGGTTCAAACCTATCCTCATTTCGGTCGCACAGTCATCTCACACATCGGCCTAGTCGGTCACCTGCGAATCCATTGCACAGAGGATGGCGAACCAGTGCCTGGAGCACCCACATGCACTCGCTGCATCCGCCTTCACTGTCCGTACTGTCCACGCGTATTCAGCCACCGCATAGGCCTATTGGGTCACATGCGCTCTCATAAAAACCTGCAACAGACTATCGCCGGTTAAACTAAACCACCTCGCCTTCACCCACAAACACCTGCAACACACATTAACCTCACTCATTATCACATAAAACAAACGCTCAATTGCCACCTCTCACTTAAGTGGGAAATGTGCATTTCGGCTCCTTCTACACGTGGTTCTTCTGCTGCTTGTTTGGTTCAGGCCTAGAACAATCACTGTGCGCGCCAAGCCCCGTGGCTGGGAAGGGTGTCGACTGACGCTTCAAATGAGTCCACACAGTCAGTCCAGTTGTGTATGTTTGTGTGGAGTGGCGGACTGGTGGACTGAAAGTCAAACTGCAATGGCCCCTTTTTAACGTGACCTCTGGCACTCTCACGCATGCGTGAGGAATGTGTGTGCGTACATGGGTAGTGCCTCGAAGTCGCTGACTGATTGGTTAGCTGGCCTTGAAGGACGATAGCTTAGACTAAGTACACGGCTGCGTCTCACCCTTTTGGGCCTGAATGACTGTGTGCATGTGTCATGCCACGCCTCGCAGTCTCGTGTGCGCTGGCGGTTCTTTGGCGCCTGATTTCCCCCTGCCAGTGGATGCGTTCGCGCTCCCGCTGGGTATACGGATCATGAGCATGGCTGTCCAATCATCATCATCCTCCTCTTTCTGACCCGTCATTTGTTGTTGTTGTTGTTGGTTAAAATCTTGGCCAAGTGTTTGTTGCAGATCAGGATGTGTTGTGGTACGCCTAGATGCGGGTCCGACAGTGTCAGCCACCCGCGCCCTCTCCCGCCTTCAGCCTTCTCGGCTATGTCTTGATGCCGGGCTCAGGCGGGCAGGAGTAATGGTGAGGTAGATGCTTTGAAAGTCTGTTATCACTGTAAACTAATCCACACGCAGGTCACCGTGTCTGCTTTGCCCTTGCTGTGGAGCACATGGTGGACATAGTCGGCAACGACAGTCGAACTGTCAGACGGCGGCATGGTTTCCAGACGGCCATAACGTCACGATTCTAGGCAGGTAATTCCCACGGAGTGAGCAACAGCAGTGCTGACTCGAATCGTGTCATCAGCATGTCAGCTGTGGATCATGGAGGATACCCCACCCCCGTGCAGCGCATAGGCGATGGTAGTAAGGACAGCGCAGCACACTCATTCAGTGGTGCAAAGTTTAATATGTGCCTGTTTTAACAACATGCGGAAGTTCGTGAACCTTTCTAGGGATCATACACTACATTACGACAGGTGAAAAAGTGGAAACAATCATAACCCCGCATACAACGATCATCGCGGAAATTCGGTCATGATTCACTTTTAAGAGGTATTGTCTAGCTTACGCAGGCATCTAAATCTAACGGAAATCTTAGTGAACTGTAATTCAGAGTGCATTCTAGGCCGGTGGGTAAAATGAGCTTATTTGAACTCCAGCATGCTCACATTCAAAAACCAACTTATACATAATTATATTTGAATAACGGATGCATTTGATTTTACGTTTGGCACATAGGTCAAATTCCCATGTGTTTCAATATACATGGCTTGAAAACCTTGAGCTCTCTAGGGAAAGCAGATAATTTGATTCTACACAGAAAGATTCTTTTGTTCAATCCTCAAATGCCAATAAATTGCAGATTCGTAAGTAACGTCATAAGAGTTGACATCTTTCGGAGACGCCTTCCAGAAAGTGGTTTGGAATCTGCACATGCATTAAAACAGAAAATAGCCTAGGAGTGATTCCTTCCAGAAAGCGCATTTTCTGGGTGACTGCGGACACGTTCGACCACTTGAGTCCATATTTCAGCCTCAGTTAGGAAGACGGTTCTCTGCGAAAACAGTCAAGGTTCAATAAAAATTGGTGTACAATTTTTGATCAAACACCTGCTATCATGACAGCGTTTGCAGGGACCTATTTAGTTGTGGTTTGAGCCGTGATTTTGGCCTAACACAGTCTCTGCTGGCAGAACTTGTCAACT